CCACCTTGGTGACAGTGGAGCATGAGGGAGATGCTGCACGACGTTTTCAACGATGTCATCTATTTTTGAGTGTTGTCTGTGCAACGTGACGCCGGTGGCCATTTTTTTTTTGAGTGACGTGCAGGGGAAGTGTTGCCCGTCCGACGCGGCGACGACATCCATTATTGGACCAGTACGAGGGAGGTGCAATTCGCTTGGCGTGGAGACGGTGGTGCTGTCGGCGGTAGTGCGGAAGCACTGCCAAAATTTTGTGGCCACAACGAGGATTTGTCGGCGGTAGTGTGGAAGCGCTGCCAAAATTTTGCGGCGACAACACCGAATTTGTTGGCGGTAGTGCGGAAGCGCTGCCGAAATTTTGCGGCGACAGCATTGGGTTTGACGGCGGTAGTGCGGAAGCGCTGCCGATTTTTTTTGCGGCAACGACACTGGTTTTGGTGGTAGTAGTGCGAAAGCGCTGCCGGTTTTTTATGGCGGAGGTGGCAGTATTCTTGCACTGACTATATTAAGTGGCGACTGGGCATTGGCACAGGGAAGGTACCGCAAAGTGGTGGTGCGCTTAAAAGTGGTGTGAGTGCGACGCCGTAGTGGCACAGTGAAATTGGGGTTGAGTGACGGAAGCGCGAAGGTGTTATTGGATTGTTGAGAGTGATAGTGTGTTGGGAGAGTGTCGCAGCAGGTGATTACTTTCGAGGGTGTGGTGTGGACACCTTGTGGACGACTTGTTGCGATGGTCTTCTTATCAAACGACGATATTCCGAATGGTCTTCCTGAGTGGGCCGTCTCTTCGACTTCACTCAAAATCAGTTAACCTGACTCAGTTCTCTTCATACTTGTGAGAACCCACACTTGCTTGACCCTGTTCTTTGAACGTTCATTGAAAAGGAAAAGGAAATGTGTGTTTGCGTGTGCGATGGGGAGTCTGACGATGACAAAGGATTATATGGTGGTCTGTGTGTGGCTTGACTTGATTGCAGGTACGACATGTGGATTGAGATGGATGAGGATGATGATGGTGAAAGAATGGTTGTTTTCTCATCTCTGTGCTTGTATGTGCGTGTGAACTAAAGGGAAAAGAAAACGATGAAAATGAAGCGAGCGCAAAGAAAAGGAAAGCAATTGGATGTAGACTCGTTCCCTGAGGTTGTTTATTCTTTCCCGAGTGACCCTCTTTGCTTGTATCCGTCCGTCCGAATGAATTTCCTCTCTCATGACTTTTTTTTCGTCTAGGTTCGCCTTTAACGTCAAGCGGCAAAGGGCTGACCGTCTGCTGTGGTAGGTGCACTTCCTTTCCCTAGGAGGCATCTGAGGCAGGGGTTCGCTGCCTTAAGGGCCGACCCTGCTATCGACTCGGAATGAACCGCTTATGCGGGGGGATACCATGCTGTTGTGGTGGAGCCAGCCCGACTTCTAAGATCCGAGATTCACTCGGGCGAAGATGAGGGGTATCCCAGACCACCTCCTAGGGAAAGGACATGCGCCTACTCACGGAAGAGCCGTAAGTTCTTAACGCCTCACGTTAAGGGGAATTGTCATAAGCATACCCCTTAGTGGCTGTCTTAGGGGCCACTCGCGCATGGAGAATTGAGCCACAAGAAGCATGGTTCATGGTACTAGATGAAACAGAGCGCAACTAGGTACTCTTGTCGTGGTTGGCCTCACCACGAGAAGCAAGAACCATTAGGATTGATATGGCAATTAAGGCTTGGATAGCTAGAGCCGAGAACAACTTTTTTCAGTAGGGTCAACGAGGGCCAGGAGGACAAAGCGACCAACAAAATTTGAAAGCAGATCCTTCACCTTAGTGGGGCATTCAATGATCGGTTGTTCAAGTCGAGTGTTGACTTATATAGTGGTAATCGGATTACTTGCAGATGACATTCACACCAAAGTTAGAAAGGTAGTGAAGTCATCACTAAAGCAATGGCATCCTAGCTACTTGAGAGTTGGGATGTCACCATTTCTCTGCTAGCAGTCAGAGTGGGATGGAATGAAAGAACTTGACAACACATCTCATCAAGTCGAAAAATTCGTGACAGCCCAACCGTTTGGCAGGCAGAGTGGAGATACTTCAGTCGGACGTCATTTGAGCGTCGCCTTGTGTATTGGTCATGCTTTGATCTTTATCAATAAGTGTTATTTGAAGTCAAGTCAACCTTTGTCGTATGTGTGACTGTATTATATATAAGTTGAGATCATAAGATAAGTCAACTTACGTTGATCTGAGTCTTCTTTTGAAAAGTGTTTTGACTGATTAACTCTTGTTTGTCTTTGAAAGATGGGACTAGTATTGATCGAGTTTTCCTTACGCTTGGAATATCATGTCCTAGTCGATTGACGTCGTTCCGATTCCTGGGAGATCAGCGCCCTAGGGACGGGCGACGTTCGGGTGCACTTGGCGTTCAACCATGCGTACCTATGCTACAACGAACGAGCAAACGCCCTCGGACAGCCTACCTCTGCAATTGCATTATAAAAACTTTTGTATGTGGGCCGGTAGCTTGGTGGGGATACGCCCCTAAGGGTGGTGACAGCCCCTTAGGGAAAGTAAGTTGTTCCCCGCGAGAACCTATCCTGTCGTAGGGGACCGCGGGATGTACAGCTGGCGCACTCGGCCCTCGCGCCGAAGCGTCGACGTGGGTTACCATGTCATCCTCGAGTTGTCTCTAAAATTTGAAAGACTAAGTTTCTCCTCCGTGACGAGGCCAGGAGGGCCCTCGCTCGTGCGGGGGACGATGAGGTCGATAGGTGCCGCTGCAATCAGACTCGTTACTAAGTTTCTCCTACGTGACGCGGCCAGGAGGGCCCTCGCTCGTGCGGGGGACGATGAGGTCGACTGGTGCCGCTGCAATTAGACTCGTTCTCATTCACACTTTTCATGCATATAGACAGTAGCGCAACAAACTGGCGACATGCGCCCACTCAAAACTCAGAGATATGGCATCCAGATACGAGTTCACTTTCAACTGGCTATCGCGACTCAGCAGCAAAACAACTCACTATTCACATACACCAGATCACCCTGGATATCCCACACGCGTCACTCTGAACACTCACACATACACACACACTAAACTATAGCTATGGCAGCTATGGCTGCCTCTACCCTATCGCTATGCTACGCTCCTTCTCTCTCGCCCATTTCAGCTTCGGGCTCTCTGCAGACCTCCTTACACAAGTCGTTGTGGCAGCTTTTCCGCATGGCTCACGTAGAAATGAATGCATGGTTGGGCGCTGCCTCTTGATTTATACTTTTGAAACTCGGTGGTCTGCCCCTTTCCATCGGCCCATGGTGCTCACAGTCCCTCGTGATACTTGCTGGATCGGACTGGGACTGACTGGACCTTACCGTTGACTGACTGTGGACTCACTGCTAACCTACCGTAGTCCTACTGCTATTGCACTGCAGTTTAGTCCACCACTTGACTCACCACTTGCCCACTTGCCCACTTGCTGACCTTCTAGAAGGACTACAGCTAGGCTTCTGGAACTCGCTAAGACTCCTACTCTATAGATCTACAGATYGAACCCCTRCTTCCTATGGGACCCTACGACAGACTACTAACTCTTACAAATACACAGGTCGCAGGTTCAACTCTCAAGGTCTACACAGGTATTGTACACAGGTGGGGTGAGGTCTAGGGATCGAGCCCTAGGATCTGCATCTGCTACTACAAAAAGGTGAAAACCGTTTCACTCCCACCGTCCTAAATAGAAGGTCTTCCGTGAATATTTCAGTCCAAGGCAGGACGTTTACCCTTCTTATCACGTTCATACGCTCTGACTATGTCGGGAGCTGTTTCTAGAAGTTCTATCCTAGTAAACCAGCGGTCGTCTTCCGGTTGGTGATAAGCGAACCGGACCTTATACTGTTTCTGTGGAACACCTCTCCCTTCTGTTTTAAAGACATCTTCCTGTACAATGCCGTCAATGTCATAACTTCCATCCATATCCGGGGGGATCATGGATCTTCTTGAAGGGAACTGTTGACTTGGGATACATGGCAGCAGCTTTGAAGCATGAAACACAAGGTATGTGTGGAGGTGTGCTGGAATCTCTATAGTGTAGGGCGGTCCATCCTCTCCGCCCTTAACTTCTAGAACCGGCGACGRTCCTCTATATGCAGGTAGTAACTTTTGTGAGATGTTCTCCTCAGGTGCAAACTCTTTAGACTTGACGCAGACTAAGTCGCCTACCTGAAACTGCGATGGGCGACGATGCTTATTGGCCTGTTCTATCATTTTGTGTTTGGCCTTCCTGAGGTTCTCAACAACAGTTGCTAATTCCTTCTCGTGTTGTACTGCGAACTCCCTGGTACCGGGCGGTAGTCTGTGAATCTGATCTCGGTTCAGTCCTTCGAACGGTCTGCGTGGCCGTTCAACATCACCTGTCGCACTCCCAATGACTTGCACAAGTCCAACATCCTATCCCAGTTGATCTGGTCAGGTCTAATATACATGCGCAGAACTTGCTGTAGGATCTTATTCATCTATTCTGTCTGACCGTTGGTCTCTGGATGACGACCAAATGACATTAGCAACTTAGATCCATAAACTCCCATGAGTTCTTGCCAGTTCTGGCTGGTGAAGCGACTATCTCTATCGCTAACTATTGACAATGAGATTCTATTCTCACTAACCCAAAAATCGAAGAACTTCCGAATAACTAAATTTGTACGTGCCTCTGCAGACAAGGGAACAAAAACAGCATACGTGCTAAAACGGTCAACTATGATCATGACTTGGCTCTTGCCATGCCTACTCTTGACTTGAGTATCCATGAAGTCTATGGACACTGAGTCTCCAGGTTGATCAGGAATAGGCAGTGGGTCTGAGAAGACCTAGGGGTGCGCTTGTAGTAGTCTTATTCCTCTGGCACACTTTACAACTGCGAACATACTCTACGCAGTCATTCTTCATCCCTGGCCAGGTGTATGCACGCATCAGATTGGCTAATGTCTCTTGCCAACCGAAGTGTCCCTCCGTGTCATGGCATTCCCCTAGGATCACACTGCGGATTTACTCACTGTTGGGAACGCATAGGCGGTCGAATACATCCGTCTTCTTAAACAACAATCCTTCGGTAGTGCGGTAGTGTGGCTCGGTCTCTGAGGCCTCTCTAACTCTCTTTAGGCGGTCGCTATAGATAGGGTCCTACGCATACGCTTGTTTCACTTTCTCCTGCAGGTCTCTCCCTATATCCAGATAATGTACTATGGCTCCAAAGTAGTCTGATCTCCTACTCAGAGCGTCCGCAACTACGTTATACTTACCATTCACTGGCTTGAGCTCAAAGTCGTACAAGTCTATCTCAGCGGCCCACCTAGTTAGCTTAGGTGTCATCTTGGCCTGGGTCTTCAACCATCTAAGTGTCTCATGGTCAGAATACACTTTGAAGTGCCTCCCAAGCAGATATTCCTTCCAGTGCTCTAAGGCCTGCCTGAGAGCGTAGAGTTCCCTCTCATACGTCGAGGTGGCTACCTTCTCTGAGGGCATCCTCGCTGACATGAACTCTACAAGTCTATAGCCATTGCCGTCGTCTTGCTGCAACACGACGCCTATACCATACTGACTCGCGTTCGTGGTGACGACAAATGGCAAGGACGGATCAGCTACTTTGAGGATAGGGTACTCTATCAATACGCGCTTCAACTTCTTTAGCGTAGACGTACAATCTTTGTCCCATTGCCAGATTGCCTCTTTCTTAAGCAACCTGCGCAAGGGAGCGGCGATAGTAGAGAAGTTCCTCACGAACTTTCTATAGTAATTAGCTAGGTCTAAGAACGACCGCAACTCTGTCAATGTGCGGGGCGTCGGCCAGTCTCGGATTGCCGCTATCTTGCTGTCCTCAGGTTTAATCCCATCTCCGTCTAATACGTGGCCCAAGTACACTTGTGTCTTGGCCCACTTGCACTTCTTCGCGTTGATCTTGAAGTTTGACTCTCTCAACTTCTCCAAGACCTGCCTCAGATGACCCTGATGCTCCTGAAGGGTCTTACTGAAACTAAGATATCATCTAAATAAACTACTACAACCTTGTCTAACCAMGGTCTAAACAGATCGTTTGTACATCGTTGAAACGTCGCTGGCGCGTTAGTCACTCCAAAGGGCATCATTATAAACTCGTAGTGCCCATATCTAATCCGGAACGCAGTCTTGTACTGGTCATCAGGATGAACCTCTATCTGATGGAATCCGGACTTCAAGTCTATCTTAGAGAAATACTTGCCACCCTGCACCCGATCTAAGAGATCGTCTATCCGGGGCAATGGTTCAGCATTCTTTACAGTAATCGCATCCATACCCCTATAGTCTATACACATGCGAAGCTCTCCTTCCTTTTTCGGGACAACCAGAACAGGTGTTCCAAAAGGAGACGAATTGGGCCTGATCCAACCTTTCTCGAGGAGCTCGTCTAACTGCTTGCGTAACTCCTCTAACTCTCTAGGGGACATCTTGTAGACTTCTCCCTTAGGATTTCTACTACTAGGCTCTATTTGTGTTGGACTGGTCACGGCACTACTCCTGTCGGCGACTCGGTCAAATCTTTAAACTCTTCCAGCAGCTTGGCAATCGTTGGATCTGTGGAAGTCACCTCTTCCTTAGCCTCAGTGACAGGTCTAACATAAACTACAAAGACCTGTTCTTCTAATCGCTCCTTCTTCACTAACCGCGCGAACGCGGGAGCACTGAGACGACAATGTGCCAAGGTGTTGTCTACACGTGACACATGAAACAGGCGGGCAGTCTTAACCTCGCCTGACGGAGCATTGAGCCTACACTCATGCTCTCTCAAGTGGAGTGTGGCCCCTGCTGCCTCTCCCCAATCCATTCCTAACACCATGTCAAAAGGAAGGTCATCCTGAACGAGGAGAGTTAGGGAATGGAGAACTTTCTCCACCTTCCCATCTTTCTCTAGGCGAAAGTACGCCGGGACCCCCTCTAAGTAGTCCTCAACACGCATTGTACGGTTGTTTGCGAGGACACTAACTATAGGGTCTGCTAACTTTTGGACTTTTAATCCTAGCCTCAGCTTCTTCAGCGCCCTACGACTAATATAACTGCGGGTGGCCCCTGAGTCTATAAGGGCCCCTACTCTGCTTCTAAACACTTCTACATCTACCAAGATCAGTTGTTCCTTACTCTCCTTCTTCATTTTGGCCCAGGCTGGCATCCTCTCCTTCAACTCTTCTGCCACACCTGTGAGGGACGTGCCTAGAGAGACGCTAACACAAGCAGTTTCTCGACAGCTAGCTAGGCACGGGCCTGCAACCTCTGCCATAGGCTCATGTGGTTTGGGAGTTTCYTGTTCGCGCGCGCTCGCTTCCCCACATGGCCTTGAAGTAGGGGAAGTTGCGACCCCTACTGGCGGCTGCCTTTTGACTGTTGGGCAGCCCATCGGGCCTGTCTATACTTAGGACAAAATTTAATAACGTGGGTCGGGTCACCACAAAACACGCACTGACCCAGGTCCACGCGTTTCTGCCATAAACGCTGGTCCAAGCCCAGATCCTCCCAAGGCCTGCCCAGTGGCAAGCCTGGGTGCCATCCTCCTTGAAATGCCCTTCCACCTCTTCGCTGCGAGGACCGACAAGAACCTTGACGATTTGGCGGGGGACCTTGACCCCTGCCTCCCACTTGGCGGTTCCCTTGTCCGCCAACCCCCTGTGCGCCCGGTCCTCGGCCTCCCATGGCCTGGCCCCTTTGGCCATCGCCTCCTCCTCTACTTTGCGGCCTCCCTCCAGCTGCGACAGCAGCATAGGACCTCCCCTGCCCCACGCTGCTGTCCTCYTCCTCGAGGCCCCACTCAATCTGACTATACGGGACCTCGTCTGTACCACCTTCCTCTAAGGTAAGGATTATATGATCCTTGGCCCTTACTTGGCCTGAGATGGTACGACCTTTCCACCTTTTTCCTTTGTCCAAGTCCTTGTGCCGGCAAGTGGACACTGGCATGGACTTTGACTCATACAGGACCACTTCTCTACTCCGCACATCACAAGTGATGTCGGCCTGTTGAGACTTCTCAAAGAAATGCTCACGCAGGGGCTCGGGCATGGCACGATAAAACAATTGGACCAAATGGGTCTCAGTGACCCCATGGTCTGGGATGACTACCAAGTCGTCCATAACGCCCTTGAGTGCTCTTGCACTCCTCCACTGTCGCGAGTGGATCGTCTGCAACTTATCAGAGGCCATGACGCCTCTCGTTGGGTCAGCAAATCGCTCCCTCAGGAGCTTAAAGAATTGAGGAAGGGGAGTGACTTTAGAATAGGGAACCAGGTTGTTTTCACAACTGGCTGCGCGCGCAAGGGATCTGGCGAAACTCGCCGCTTCATCTTTGAGGGCCTGAAAAGCTACGAGGACTTGCTCCTCTGTCAAGATATGTTGTAAATAAGCGTAACTATTGACGCTAGCCYCCCAGTTGTCAAAGTTTTCCTCCTTTTTTCCCCCGTACGCATCTGGAAACTTAAGCTTGACCGGGTCCTTGCGGGGTCTAGCCTCGCCCTCTACAGCGGCTATCGCTTTGGCGCCCTCGATAGCACCCTCACAAAACTTCCCCACGTTGTCTCTCAACCTCCTAACTTCTCCCCCAACGTGGGTAACCATATCGCGCGCAAAGTCCCTAAGCCCCGACCGCATGGCACTCAAGGCTACTTCTTGACTCCAACTRGCTTGGCGCTCCTCCATCCAAGCCACACTCAACACCTCCAAGTATCCCAACACCTTATTCCATTTGGACTTGTCGTCTGCCTGGGCCTCCACTTCTTGCCTACAGTCCTTTACCTTTGCAACCTCTACTGTYAGCCTATTGACTTCCTCCCTCCTTCTCTTTTTCTCCCTCTTCATTCTCAATTTTCATTCCAACTTCTGCTCCTCCTCTCTTTCTCGTCGTTCCATGGGGTCCTCCATTGCCATTAGCTCCCTGACTAACACATCTCTCTCATCCTGAGGCACATAAGACTCCGCCTCCTYGTCTTCCCCCAATGATAAATTGGCAACCCACTCGCTGATCTTTTTCTCCATCTCTGCGTCTTTATCCTTTTTCGTGCCACTACTCCCCTCTCTACTCTGAATAYGCATCCTCTCTTTTGCTTCTTCTGGTGCTGCTTCCTCTTCAGCAGCCTTTCTCTTTTCTTCCTCCTCTTGCTGAATCCTCATCATCTCGTCCTCCAATTTCTTCYTCTTCGCCGCCTGCTCCTCTGCGATCGCCTTCAACTTCCTTTCCTTATTTTCTCTCACTAAGGCGGCCATCTTCTCTTGTTGCTCCTTGGTGTAGGGGCWAGTGCTCTTCCCACTACGGGTCTCAACCATGGTGTCAGTGCACAACCGGATTAACGGTTCCAAACCTCACCACGTAGACTCTAATTCCTAACTGACAAACCTCTTCACTCAATCTAAGACTCACAGAAGCCTGACATGGAT